TCTGAAACCTGAACATTTTTTGCAGAATTTGAAGTCCTGACTTTCAGCTGATTCTCATTGTGGCTACATGAGAGGAAGGAATGAAAGCATAGGATTTTGGTTATGAGGAGAATAAGTCTGAAGATTAAACGGTTAATTATTTTCTAGCACAAATAATGTTCTAATTATGTCACTGTTCAGCAAAAATTAGAAATATATTTATGAATATTTCAAGGCCACTCTTAATTGTGATAGATTTTGTATTGACATTAATGTATCAGAGAATACATATCCGGTCATTGCATATCAATTCTGAGGTAAACAATGTAGATCCTGCTAATCAACATCTCATTAATTTTTGACTAAATTAATAGTTTTCAAAACATGAAATGCAACCTTGCTCAGTATTTTTCTAAAAATTGTCTCCTTAATGGGAATTCCAATTTTCTACCAGCTACATCCGTGCTATTATTAAAGAGGAGACCAAACGTATTTGTTTTTTTTCTCGCTAAATGAAACACAAATACAGTTCACAGGAAGGTTTCTTGGAACGCTATGCGCTTACCTACATGTTTTTACCCACAAGATTTTGTATCATGATAACAAATCAAGAAACTTCTCAAGCGCATGTGAAAATGAAATAAAAAATGAGAAAAAAAGATTTCTCTTAGCTTCACATCCCAATTAAACAAGTAACTGACTTGGCAGGTCTTGTCTTTGTTCCATCCCTGCAGCACAGTCTAGGAAAGCACATTCCCTGTGGGAGTTGTTAGTCTTGAATAATAAAACAGATAACATGCCGAGAAGGCTGAAAAGAGCTGTTTCAGAGGTTAAGGGAGAAACACTAATTTTGAAAATGAATCCCAGCAGTGGATATATAATTGGCCCAAATAAAAGGGAACACACTTTCTTGTGGCAAGTTAATACATGATAGCTCAGCGATCAAGAAAATAATCAGGCATGAAAAGCTTTGTTTTTCAATTAGATCAATTTAGGCAGTTTGATGTATGTGCCATGTTTCTTCATCACATCTTATGTAACTTCCAGTTTCTATGCAGTTGAGTAGCGCCAGGTTTAAGCCTGGATTTCTCCTTTGTGGAAGGGCTTCTGAGGGACAGAGATGCCAGAAGAAGCCCCCTCAAAATTTTCTCCTCACAATTTCACTGAAGACCTTTCCCATTTTTGCACGTTTCTGCTCACAAGCCTGTTGAAGACCCGGAGGAGACCAGGGCAAGTTATACAGCGATCTTGCTCCCACATCTCTGCTTCAATTTTATTCTCCAACAGAGCTGTTCCCTAGGAAGCATGTTGCCGTCATATCTCCAGCCAACATCTGCCCTGAGATCCCCTGCTACAAAAATATTAACAGTCTTAACTCATTGCTAAACTTTCCACTGAGCAGAAAGAAAATGTAAGGAGAAAAAATAAGGGATGTATCACTGCCCTCAGCTCTACTGGCGCAAATCGTTGAAAAGATGCTCCAAGATCTGCTTCAAGGAGATCTTGGTTGGTTGCATAGGAATAGTATTAAAATATAATTACCTCCACATAGCAAAGCTGCAGCCTGCACCCTGAATATCTCCCAGTTTTATCAGCCACTGCTCATATTTCAGCAAACAACCACAAAACTGCAAAACTACTTGGTAAATGGTACAGGTAAACCCATAAGAGTGCCTATAATCTTTAGAAGCCATGAACGGCAGGAACATGAAGTGTACATATCACTCCGTGAATGCTATGAGGTAGTGGTTAGAGCACTGAGACACAGGGGATCTGGTTGTCTCCCCTGTACTGCCTCTCTTCTGCTTTTATCTTAGGCTAGTCTCTCCACCTTTCTGTACCTGTAAAGTAGCAAATAATAACAGCATTTATCAATTTTATAAACCATTAACCTCCACTAAAGTGATAACATCTTCATTCATATTAATAATAATAATTGATGGTACCCATCTGGTAGCAAAGAAGTGCAAGAAAAGAGTACAAAGTATTTAGCTGGAAATACAGCAGTCATGAGAAGTATCTGTCTGTGCCGTGTGTCATAAATATGGAAAAGTGAATACAAAAGGATCACTTAAATCTCATGAGATTCCTGATCCCTCATGTACCACATTTGGTGCTGATTTATTTGAATTAAAATGGCAAGAAAACCTCATCTTGTTTTTTCCTGGAGTTTTTAGTGTAGTTCTCTTTTGTTTTTAATCAAGCTCTTGCTTAAGCCATGTGAGTAAGAATTCAGTAACACATTGTAAATCACAGTTTGCAAGGCCTGTGACTGCACATGAGATAGTAAAAGATAATGCTATATAATTCACATGTGGCTTGTTCGTCATTCAAGCACCACATGTCAAATTCTCCCTATGCACAGCTGAATGTGTGAGCAGAAAAGCTAGTATGGATTGTAAAGAATATAATTTTAAAGTCTTGGCTATTAGAATCCTTTGGTTATTGCAAAAACAATTCAGAATCTTATGAGTATAAGCCTAAATTTTTTTAACCTTCTTAAAAGCATACTAAGTTGAAGTCAATTTACCATTAAGCTGTTTCAAAAGAGGAAGTGATAAAAACTGGAACAGAAGAAATACCCAGTCAGCAATCCAGGCCACTTCTTCCAAATAAATGGTAGAGAAATATCATATTCCAAAATGGAAATGTTTAACATCGGGATAACAAATAGAGCTTTTACAACGACATAACATTATTTTAAAGTTATCAGGGATTGCCATTTACTATATGTGCTCAGACATGAAAGTCTATAGCACAGATGTTGTCTGGAGCTCTCTTTATTGTCTTTGGAGAGAAATAGGTGACTTGCAATCCAAAAGTGCAATTTCTTTCTATTGACCCTAAAGGAAGTCTAAGTTCAGGTGTCTACAGTATACGTGTAATTCATAGCACTCGTGTAGGTAGTGCTTAGTCAAAAGGAAGACCTAAACTGTCTGACAGTCAGGTCCCATCATAAAAAAACCCCGATACTGTATCATAGTTCTGTAGGTACCAATATGAAAAATATGCAAAGCTGCATATTTTGCCGCGTATATGCAGCTGCAAAGTCCTGTGCAGCTATAAAGGACTTCAACTCTTATTTCTGAGGATTCTTGAGCGCCTCATATAGTTCCATTATATAACCTACCTAGTTCCTCAACGCAAATGCAAATTTATCTAAAAACCTAAACAGACCACTGCAGAAGGAAGAACGATAGGGTTGGAAAGGACATGTTGTTCAGGATGAACTTTAAGATAGATATGAGCAGAACCTTGAGATCATCCTATCTGTTTTGAGGTAACCTATGCTAATATTTGTCAGAGATATCTCTAGCTGAGTTTTGTAGTGATCAGATGTACTCTTATGTCATCAGCTATCAGCCAGTTTTATATGAATTTGATTTTATATCTTATATTTTAAAAAAAGGTTAATGCAGTCATAACAAGCAGATTTTTGACTGTCAGTGAGCCTCTCCCACCCCTGTTCCCTAATTAATGACTTTTAAACCTTTGGCCAAATTCAGAAAAACTGGATAGAGGTCACTGTAAAAACTTTGTGTAAATGGACTTCCAGAGAGAGGGTAGGTGCCGTGAAGGAAAGGCTGTTCTGCAGGTTCACAGCTTATCACATCAGAGAACTTATAAGTGCCTCAAGTTTCCGTCAGAGCTCACCTTCTCTTAAATATCAAAATTACACTCTGAGGACTATATACCTTTAAAGGAAGACAAAATAGTTGCTTCTGGAATACTATTTACTTTTGTACTCTGACTTCCATTGGGTGAGTAGTCCAAAGCCATAAAGAGGTCACTGGTAGCATACCGCAATCACTGGATTTTGGCTGAGATTGTCTAACAATGGTGTTAACATTAGGAGTAAGTTAAAGCCTAAGAGGCTCTCACCCATAATATAACTCTAATTCTGTACAGAGCTTTTTCTGTTTGTCTGTTTTTTAGCCATTTAAACTCACCAGTGTCAGCACTGTTTCCTGTTGTTTAGAATGAGGGCAGCTTAAACAACTTCAAAAAGAACAAAGTTCTGTCATGTGTCCTAAATGATAGTGTAGTGGCATGGTCCTAGCAATTATATATAAAAATATATAGTACAATTTAATAGAATTTAATATAATATAATTATATTTTACTTACTTTAAACACCTATATAAAATTACAGATTTGGTATAGGACCTATCAAAGAATAAAAAGTACTGTGTTAGGTACTATTGGAGAAGGGGATGCCTGAACAAGCTTACATCAAAGCACAAAGGGAAATATATACAATTTTCTGGAGCATGCAGAGGATGTGCTGCCATCATCCTTCCTTTCAAACAGAGGAATAACCAGTTAGCGATTTATGGAGATTTTCTAAACTGTTTATTTGTAGTGTATTTTGACTGGGGTATTAGTAGTTTGGAGATAGTAGTATGACTTTTGTTAATATTATAGATGGTACAATCAGCTGCAACTTAAGAAGGAATAAAATAAAAGTCATTTTGCAAAATGTCTGTATTAGTAGATGAACTGCAACAAAAGCTATCCATAATTATTGGCAATCTCTTGCTTTTATCTTTAAAAGAATATATGAAGCTGGCATCATTTTATCATGTAACTCAGAATCAAAATCACAGTAGCACAAAATAGTATTACATGTTTATTGTGTCTTAAAATATAGAAATATATTCCAACAGCACATTTAAAAGAATAATATAACAATAATCTTCAGTTTCTTATTCTTAAAATGGTACACCATTATTCAAAAATATATTACTTAATGTACCCAAAATTTAGTTTTCATCAGAGTCTATTTAGAATAAATCGAGTTCAAAAAGCATATCCATCTACCCGATTTATACACAAACCAGTACACTTTTTGAAGACAGCCCTAGGAAACTTAACTTTCAATATTTAAGTATTTCGAAATGGTAATTCAGTGGGAGACATTATATTTTGATATACATCATTGTATGTGCACTGCAAC